ATGATGCACGAAATTGTCAGGCAGCTGGGCGAAGTGACAAGTCATTACCCCATGAACACAGCACCAGAAAGGAATGGTAGTACGCCTACAGAGCTCACACCTAAAATTGATGCTGTTATATGCAGTGTTGGTGGTGGTAGTATGTTCTGCGGGTTAATGCAGGCGATCGAGGAATTGCACCTGAAAGACCGTATCCAGGTGATTACTGTGGAGGCAGATGGAGTTGACTCACTGGCACAATCTGTAGCAAAGAGGGAACGCATCACTTTGTCTAGAATTGGTAGTTTGGCTACCAGTCTAGGGGCGAGGAGAGTTGCGCAGAGAGCATTCGAATATGGCTTGGAGAAGCACGTACGAACAGTTGTTCTGCCCGACGCTGAGGCTATACAAGCATGTCGTCGGTTTGCTGACGAGGAGCACTACTTGGTAGAGCTGGCATGTTCTGTGTGTCCTGCCTTGTGCTACAACGGAAAGTTGCCAGACTTGATCGCTGGGTTTAATCAGAACACTACGGTCGTGATTGTCGTCTGTGGCGGAAGCAACATATCATTTGAGATGATGGAACAATATATGGCCAGCCTAAGCTAAAGAGAAAGAAACAGAAACAGGCTGGTGCCAGGTAGAGTAGCAATTAGCTCATGTTAGAAGTAGATGCCAGTTGAAGATAATGCTCTCTGTTCCTGTTCATCCGCGAAATCAACTGGCCGATCCTCCTGATGCCGTCTTCAATATCTTGCTCTGCCTCCCAAGAAAACGAAAGACGAATACTGTTGTCGAAAAGTGCGCTTCTCTCGTCTCCATGTACCACAAACAAATTACCATGGCCAACGATGATATTTTCTTCAGTCTTTAGTACATCTGCGATGAACTTTGTAGGGGATTCGCTTCCAAGCTCCAGCCAAACAAAGTAGCCACCAAAGATTTCATAGCCATTGAGGCTGCTGACACGGGTTCTGGCCCCCAGAGGCCAAAGATATGTATGAATCGCGTCCATCATGAGCCTATGGCGTCGCTGCAGCGTAGGTCGTACCGTCTCGTCAACAAACCTTTGCAGCTGACCATTTTCGACTACTTCAGCCAGCATCGCCGCGCAGAGTTGACTCGGCGCGCCGCCGGACCTCGTAGATGCGGTGCGAGCAAGGCCAGCTATAAACACGGGCGACGCCTCTGCCCAGCCTGTCCGAACGCTGGGACCGGACAACTTGCTAAAGGATGCGTTGCTCACCGCATGGCCAAACCCATGGGGATCGTCATCAGAAAGCCCCATAGAAAGGTCAATGTCACAAAGGCGTGGAAGCCTCAGTTCAGCCTGTCGGTCTTGCGTTACTGGCGCAGCCAACGGCCACTGGAGGAGATCATAAACATCATCACTGATAATAAGAGCATCGTACTTTCGGGCAAGCTTGACAAGGCCCTCTCTCCTCCCAAGAGACATGGTTAAGCCCGAAGGGTTCGAGCATGTTGGCACGGTATATATTAGATGCCTGTACAGTTTCCTATCTGCGGATGGGAGTTTAAAGGGCTTCAAAAGCATTCAAGCCACTTGTCAGCTCACACTCATTATAGACTATATCAGCGGGGTGCATTACCTTTTGGCCCCTCTTCTCCTTATCCTGCTTTTCGAATTCTTGCAGCTTGCGGTCAAAGATTGGTAGATTGATCCCCTCATCATCCTCAGGCACAGCGTGCAGTCTGCCTGCGAATCCAGAGTCCTCAAAGATGCCACAACCAAGATGATAGCACGGTGCAACTACCCAAACAGCCCTCGTGTAGTTAACATCGCTGAAGCATTGCAGAATGCATACCAGGTTCTGGCTAGCGCCGCCAGTAATGCAAATACGTTCTGGGTCAGGGGTGACTCCATAGTGAGGCCCAATCCAATTGGCAAGGCCCTTCCTGAGACGAGTCAAGCCATGACAAGAGCCATACTCTTGCATTTCTGTATACTCGTCTTGGTTGACGAGGACACGCTGGCACGCGGAGGACAGAAGGTGTGTGGGGAGGAGCCCCGGGCTCGGCCATCCGCGGAGGAAGTTGATCTGTTTGTGAGCGGTAGACATGGTAGATTTATGACAGAGAATAGTAGACTTATGTACTTGGAATTATAGTAAAATGGGTGTTCACCGCATAGGTAGTTGGTGAAAGGAAGAACAGAATGTGCCCACAGGATGCGGTTGTTAGATGCACCAGCTAGTCAGAGTTTTGCTTGGCCAAAGCCAACGGGCACGCAATCAGTAGATCTAAATAAAGGGATAAATATGCAGTGCAGCTCATAAATTCATGTTTAGCAGATGCGGAGGCTGTCCTAGTATACGACAAAAGACGGAAAACTTTGAATTTCATCTAGATTTTGTATTTGTGCTATCTAGGCCATCATTCCTCTCCATTTGAATCAAGGCGTGGTTTCTTCTACTCGCTGCTAGCAGTCTGAGCCGTCTGGCCTTTAAGAATAGTATTGAAAAGCTGGCAGAGTCTTTCAAATGCAGCATCGCTAATCTGGTAATGGAAAACCAGCCGTCCCACAATCAGACTATTTGATACTTTCAGATTCAACTGGCGACCCAATGCATAAAACTCATCACGGTCTACACCAGATGCTGGCAGATCAAGCCATAGCATGTTCGTCTCCGTCGGCACCTGAAGCTTCCCTCCCAGGCCTTGCCAAAGTCTCGCCGCACGTCTCGCCTTGTCGTGTGCAAGGCGCATTTTCCCACCCAGGAATACATCCTGAATAGCTACCTTTGCCGGCGCCGTCATTATACCGGAAGAGCGAACGCCCCCGCCCAGTAAGTGGCGGCTCCATTTTGCCCTCTTGATAAAAGACGCGCTTCCAGTTATTACACTGCCAAGTGGTGCTCCAAGACCCTTTGTCAAGCATAGCTGGATGCTGTCAAAGTATTGCCCAACGTCTTCCAGCTTGCAGCATCCTGCAGTAACTGCCTCCCAGAGGCGAGCGCCATCCAGATGCATGTGAATGGGCGGGTTCTGGGCGCGTGCCCAGAGCGAGATGTCTCTCATGTCGGAAAAGGGCATTATGGTGCCACATATTGTGTTCTCCAGACTAATTATTCTGGTTGGGCAGTCGAATACCGTCTCCCTCAATATGCTGTGTTCCTTAACGTCCTGCAAAGTGAGGTGATGCCCATTAGATGGAACGATGGTTTGTATCATCGCCCCACTGACGCTTGTAACTCCACCACCTTCCAATGTGGCGATATGGGCTCGATGGTCTGCTAGGATGGCATGGGGAGGGGCGTGTAGACTTGTCCGAAGGGCTACCTGATTGCCCATTGTCCCGGACATGACAAGAAGTGCGGCCTCATGGCCTACCAAGTCGGCAACATAGCGCTGGAAAGAAACGGTGGTCTTGTCTTCATCTGCTGTGCAGTCCCCAAGTGTTGTGTTGATAATTGCCTCTAGCATAGGCAATGTCGGCCGGGTAAATATGTCGGAGCGAAAGTCAATGGACGCCTCGCTGTTATCTGCCCACGACAACATATTGTCTGGCTTGCTCTCAGGTGGCATGCTGCAACTTTTCCCATCTGCCAATGGTATGCCGGTTTCTTTCTCGGAACTCAAGGGACCCAACTGCTTAGGACCATGCGGTAGAGATAGGATTGAGAGTGAATTTTCCATGGCTAGCGGTCGGCTCTGCTTTTCAACTGCGGACTTCTAGGTGAACTTGAAGGACTCGGAGCTTAACGTTTAACAAAGGAGTGTCACAAAGGCGTAGACAGGCGGGTAAAATATAGACTGCCAGTGCTGGATTAGAAAATTTCTACATATATCAACTCACAACATACGGGAAACTTGCTTGTCGTTCCTTGTTTTGTGTAGTTCAATAGAGCACCGTCCCTAGCCAGATGTCAACACTCCGCCGATGATGCCAATCTGCAAAGAGCGCAGTTCTCCGTACCTAGGTAGCAACTCTCCAGCTTGCAATCATTCCTTCTCAGCCAGAAATACGTCGCTATTGTCTGTATTACCATACCACAAATACCTCCTACCCCGCCTCCACTGCGTCAGAACTTCGCATATACGAGTACCTTCGCGACCCACACTGGCAGCTGCCAGCAGCCTGCAGAGTTCTGCACAGGCATATGCAAGTTTGCGGGGTTTGCATCTTCCGACCCCGCCGGGCGACTGCTAGACAGACGATGCGTGCCGGAAAAATAAATCTTTCTGCCTGGTCTGCATACATATCATATACATATCGCCACGTACAGAGGTGGTCCAAGCGTTGACCGATGCTATGAGATGATACGCATCTAGATCTAGCGGGCCACATATTATTCTGAAACCCTATCGTACACCCCTTGGCCGGATATATCTCCGACCCACTGCCCCATTTTTATTTTAGCGGTAAGATATAACAAAACATCTAGCCATGACCCGGAACATTCTGTTGACTATTTTCGAAAAGGTATACATATGAAAATATCTGGAAAGCCCGGTTTTTTGAATTTTATCAGAATGCCACGTTGTTCTGGAAGAGGAAAGCTTCATACACATGCAGTGCCATACAGTAGGGACTCCGACTAATGAAATTAGCGAAAAAGGTAGATCGCGAATTTATGCGGCCAGGGGGGTACTACCCGTATTGTGTTGCTGAAAATATACATGACTATGCCGCCTTCCTGCATATGCTCCGAGTTAGTGTACATATTACTACGTAGTAAAGCTATTTGATCAAACTCAGCAACTTCCAAGACAGATCTAGATGCTGAGGGATTTTATGAATTGTCGAAAATTTCTGGGGATGTGCGTGAGGTGTAAACATGGATCTGCAGGTATTGTACTGTATCTTAGTATGAGTGTGAAGGGTGGTAATGAAATATACGCTTCAATTATCAAGTGTATACCAACTGTTCAATGGTTGGCAAAAGCCTCCTACTATCACTCGGCTCAACAACCAATAATAGCCAGGAAGTTTTGTGTTTTGTGTCTTGATGTTTTCGTTTTATTATATTTATCTTCAAGGTACACAAACATGCTCGGAACTATAGGCACTTCGACAGACCTGTCATTGCAAGACGGTACCCTTGTAGCATGTCTTTGTACCGTGTATCACCCGTATTTTGTAGGTCCCCAGCACACTCCTCTAGGCTTGTCTTCTCTCTTGTCACAATAGCCTCTAACAAGAGACAGTTCTCCCGGTCTAGCAGATCAGGAGCTCTCAGTATAGCATATTTAAACTCCAAAAAGGCCAACGCTATTCCTAGGAGCAAGCCGAGATTCCCCGTGGGCCGCGCACTCCACCGCAGCATGTTGTTGGCCAACCTAGCACTATCCTCACTCTGACCGTGTTGAGCCGCTAGCAAAAGAACATCGTGCAAACATGAAGGTTTAGCACCGATCGTGGGATGGCCAAGTTTCAGGACAAGCTCGAGGCCAATATCAACGAGACTAGTGCAAGATTCTCGCCTCAATTCGTCCATGCCCGCAACGATGTCGGATTCAATATCAAAGCCCGCTTGCGCACGCAGGAGGCGCAGAATGCAAGAGTAAAGAGGACATACCGTTCGGGAGGGTATACTGGTCGTGTTCTCCAAAAGACTGATGTGCGCAAACCAAAGGGCAATGATGTCAGGGAGCTGATCCATCGAGGGTGTGTTCAACCTTGACTGTTCTTTCCACGGTGGCAATGAAACAACAGAGTCAAGTCTCTGGCACATTGTGGGTATGCACGAGTCCGCCACCTGGAGCATTTGGGCCTCATTGTCGGGAAACACGGATTGATAGTGGTAAACTGAGTCTCGGAGCGCTGCGACAGCATCTTGAGAAGTCACGGATTGTCTCTGGGTAAATTTCCAATATAGCAAGGGTTCATCTTTTGGTCTCAATTCATCTATCCATGAGCGAAGAGTAGCAACTTCGTTGTTTGTGAAAGCGCCAAACATGCGTCCTCCCCACGAAAGCTCCCGCAAAAGCAGGCTCTTGCTGCTTTCCCCTGCAAAAACCCACGGCTTGGCTTCGCTGAGGACTGTCAAGAGATCCAGCTGATGCGGCCCATTGGAATGCTTCCACAAGTCCGCATCAAGCCATTCAGACAAAGTATAGGGTCCTATACGTGCCCTGCTTTGAGAGTGGATACCATCCGATACCAGAGCTTTGGATCGAAGGATGTCCATCACTTGAGTGCTAAGTGGTCCAAGTAAGACTTCTGGGCTCGAAAGACCCAAATTAACTGTTCCAGTGGAAGAATGACTCCCTAGAGTCTGCGACAAGATGTATCCCACCTGAACTCGTTTCCAGGCCTGCTGCACAGCCTCCTCCCCTTCCGTTGCTCGCACGACTTCAAGATATTCCATAACAGCGTGAGCGGCTATGGCCGTATGTCCGGAATCGGCATTATCTATTGTAATGTGGATGAGAAAGTAATAAGGATCAATGGCAAAGCTTTTCAGCTCATGGGCTGCTTGCATAGTGTCGAGCGTCACGGTTTCGAAGTGCATATTAAAGCCGAGAATTTCAGGAAGAAACTCGTTGGGGAAGAGCGAGATGGTAAGCTGGCCCACGGCAGCCTGCCAGGCCTCACGATTCTCGACTCGATTCCACTCGGGGAGACGTATAAAATCTGCACTGTGGCCATTTGGCAGTGGACATCCAATATCGTTCAGAAGCCTGCGGTAGATATTGACGTGGTTCTTGGAAAGATCGCCATCTCCGAGCTCTTCTGACAAGAGATGCCACAGCTGTCTGGTGACGCCCCGAAGGGAAAACGGAGTGGTGATTTTGTTTATGTGTCCAAGCCATGCGCCGTCCACAAGTTTGATGGGTGCCTGCTGGACGAGCCAATCTTTCGCAGCTTCAACAGTCCCAAATAACTCGGTATGTTCCCCCTGTTTCCGTCTCTCCAGATAGCTGGCAAATTCTGACTGAGCCTTTTGGTGTGTGTGTTTGAGGAAGGTGGAGATGCCCTCGACGCTGTAATCCTCGATGCTGAGTATGTTGCTGCTACTGTCACACTCTACCTGCAGGAGGGCGAGTAAAAGTGCACGAGAGAACATGATCAATAGTTCCTCTCGAGCCGGTTCCAACGTTTCTGGGTGATCTTCGAGATTTTGAAGCTGAAAGAACATGTCTCGATACCATTGTGTTGATTTGAGGTGCGCGATCCTCGGGCCTGCTTTCTTCACATCCTTGGACTTGCCCACCGGCGTATTACGGACGGACGCAACGTGGCTCTTCCTCTTGCTAAAACTGAACAAGTAGACCACAGCAGCAACCAAGACAGCTAGAAGAGGAACGAAATGGTGCTGTGACCAAGAGAGATCCCAAGGCAGATTCATAATGATGGCGCCACATATATGACCAAGAAAGGGCAGCTTCAAGGGGGCCAAACACCACGCCGAGATGGGAGGGATGCTTGGTTTTAGGGTGGGTGTGTTAGCGTCAAGCAATTCCAGCATGAAGAATAAGAGCGAGAAATATAGCTTGGTGGGTAGAATAGTCATGAAGATGCTGTGCATGGGATGATGATCTGCCCCATCGTTCTACTGGCTTATGGAAGGCCCTGATAGTATGTTTCCTTGGAAATCTATTGTTATGAGAGTTTGCCTAAGTTGCATCGAAGTGGATGAATTATAGTACAATGCTACAGTCTAGGTAATTTTATAATATATGCACAAGTATGTATTACCGCAAACACAGTACCAGTACAATACATGTATACGCGAGTAAATGGTCCACTAGTCGCCTGTCTGCTGTTACCCGGGTGGGCAAGATACATTCAAGTCAAGCAGGGTCAGCGCTGAGTAAAAAGGTATCTATGTGTGGTTTATAAGGCCTATGATTTTGCTCTCTTGTTCTTCTTCAAACAGGGAATGGCCGATAAATAGTACTCGTACTTTCTTCTTTGCCTCCCTCTTCTCGTCTTTGAACGTTCGTCTTTGAACGTTCGTCCAATTTTCTTTATCACAAGCCCACTATGACCGTCGAAGACGAGATAGCATCTCTCGCGATAATCGACTACGAAGCCTTAGCAAACAAAGATGGGAAAGAGATCCAGAAGCTCGTCCAGGCGTGCAAATCCGTGGGCATGTTCCACCTCAACCTCGGCAATTCTAGGATAAAGGATGTCTACGAAGACATCCCAAGTCTCATCCAGGCTGGAAATGACTTTTTCAATCTGCCGGGAGATTGTGAGGAAAAGAAGCAAAGTATCCACAAAGGAATGGAACGAGGGTATGAAAGGACGCGTCGTGGCTGTCTGAGCAACCATCATCGACATGTCGCCCCTACTAACTCGGTTCTCTTGTTTTAATGTAGGTATCATGCTGCCAAGACATTCGAGTACTACGAGGTAAGAGTGTTCATTCAGAAAGCTATTCTCATTACTCAATCAAATCGCGCCATGCAGATTGCCAGAGATGCGTATGTACAGGGCGAATGGACCCTGCCCGCTAGCCTGGTGTCCCACGAAAAGCGCATCACCCGTACCCTGCTATCCTTGCACGGCGCCATTCAGACAATCTTGACCGAGCTCTGCGCTGCCGTGAATGTGGATATCCCCGAGCTGAGCGACGATCCATCCGTTGCCAGCGACACTGCCCTCAAGCTGGTGTATAAGCCTCCAGTGCAAGAGGCTGGTGCTGTGGTCCAGCCATGGCACACCGATTTCGGCCTCATGACGCTAATGTGGTATAACGAGGTGAGCGCACAGATACCAATCTACGACACAGACGGCAGAAAAACAGAGCGCTGGCAGGCGGTCCCCGTTGTCGAGGGTGCTGTTCTCGTCAACATTGCAGATGAGCTGGAGGCCAAATCTAGTGGCCAGCTGCGATCGACTTTGCACCGTGCGGTGACTCCACCGGGACCCAAGAAGTTGAGGAACGGAATGGTTTATCTTCTTCGGCCATACAAGATTTAGGATCAAGTTTGCTACTCGATTGGTTGGCTGGTCAGCCTTGACTGTGCCGTGTCTAATACTGCCACAAGATCTACATAGGGTAGCTAGTTATAGTCAAGGTTAAGGAATGGCAACGCAAAACTACATTGTTTGCACAGATGACGCCGATTTGTTGCGGGGTTCATGTCTGGCGACAAGTAATTGATGAAGTGAAGAGAGGTGGAGAGGCTGGGGAGAGCCAAATTAGGGCATGTTATTATTAGTTACACTGCACCGATTACTAGTTGTGCTGCAACCCCCTCTCTTCAAAAATGAACCTGAAAAATAATTCAAACCCCAATAAAAAAGCAAGGTAAAGAATAATCAAAAAGATGAATAAAGAAATCTCTTTTAAAAAAAGGAAGATTTACACCTCGGCATACGTATGGGAAATTGACAAGACTCGTAATCTCATGGACCTCGTGAGAGATTTTTCCATCCAGGCTTAGATCCCAACATCACAAAAGTACCATACATGTAAAGTCAATTACTTGTGGCTTGGAAGAGAATGTGGTAAGACACGGCACGACAGATGGCCAGTGCTTTTCCAGTTCAGTCTATTTCTACTCCTCTCTAGCCTGGAACCTGGAATGTGAGCGCTGGTATTATATTTCCCGGTCCCACCGAAACGCATTGCAGGAAATGCATGAAACCAGCCCTACATACATGTGCTTATTACATACATACAAACCATACATACAGTTGTCTGTCTGTTGAATCTACTACGAGATTGGTTAAACTAGGTGAACCATCTGCTTTCCTTTCTTTGCGTTGAGACAGACGCGGGCTTAAGGCCTCAATCTATTCGCATCTCTCGGAAACAGCGTAGTCTCACGCACATCATCCAGTCCCAGGAAGCTCTGCAGCAGTCTATTTATGCCCAGTCCACAACCACCGTGTGGCGGCATGCCGGCCTTGAATGCATCCAGATACGGCTGCCACTGCCTGGCCTCAGGATCCAGTGGCGGGCCGCACACTCCGGCACGCATGGCTTCGCACATCTCGTAGTATGAGTGGATACGCTGACTACCAGAGCAGATTTCCCGTCCACTGACTATGATGTCCCATGTATTCGAGAACTCTGAAGCGTTGGGGTTCGCCTGTGAGTTAAACTGACGCATAGATGCAGGGTATTGATCGATGGTGAAGATGTCCGTGCTTCCACGATGAGGAGAGTCGCGGAAGTGGCGGCCGAGATCAGCCTCCTCTTGTTCGCTGTAAGATTATCATCAGTGACTGGGATTTGGCTGGAGGAATATGGCATAGCAATGTTGGTTATGATGCGCATTGATGGAATTTCTCTCACGTAAAGTTCTTGCTATCATCAGACTCGAGGTTCATATCCTCCCTTAGGATGCGTTTGGCTTCTGTAAAAGTGATGCGCGGTACTTTGCCATGTTCGTCGAAGCCCACTCGTAACGGCCGGCCACAAGGATAGAGTCTTTGAACAGCCTTGATATGCTGCTGGTACTGTTTGCGTCCCTGGAGTTCCCTGAAGACAAATAATAGCATGGATTCAAGCAAGTCAACCACCTCGTGGTAGTCTTCATAGAAGGTCATAGCTATATCAAGAACGGTAAACTGCATATAAGGTGCGTTAAAAGCAATTCTGGAGCCGTGGAGCACCCAGCGGTGCTCTTGACTTTGAGCGGTGACCTACCTCAGTCAGATGCCTAGCAGAATCACTAGACTTGACTTCAGCTCGAAATACAGGACCGATCTCAAATACGCGCTCCATGTCCATAGAAAGGGCCATCTGCTTGTGTTGCTGCGAGCTCTGGGCTAGCCATGCGTCCTGGCCAAAATATGGCAGGTGAAAGTACTCGTTATCCCCTGGGACCGTGGCAGTTATAATACGCGGGGTATGAATCCACTGGAAGTTGTTTGAGAAAAGGAATTCGACAATTAGCTGGCACATTCCTGAGTGGAGCTTGAAAATTGCCCCGGATGCGGCGTATCGCACATCAAGGATGCGATTACTGAGTCGTTCCTCAAGGCCAACGCGGGACAACATTTCTCTTCTGTAGGATGAGGATGAAGGCAGGTCTGGAGACGCCCAGGCAATGACATCTAAGCCCGACAGATAGACTATTACATGTGCAGCATTGTCATTGGCTTCGCCATTATCGCTGGCCTGTGGAGCGACGTAGCCTGTGACCCTGATGATGGACTCGGTCGTCAGCTTCTGTGCTGTGTCCCATGTCGCTTTTGGAACAGAGCTGGCACTGATAATAGCTGCCAGTGACTTGTTCTGAACTCGAAGCCCCAAGTGCATCAGTTTGAGATGCTCAAATTGGAAGACTGAATCAACCCTAGCATCAAAGCTCAGTTTCTGCCCTTTCATATCGTGAGCGAATGGGCCTGTCTCATTCATTTCTAAAAGAAGCAAAGCCTGCGAGGAAAAGAAAACAAAGGGAGAAAAATGAACGAATAAATAAATGATGATATTCTAGCGCTTAAAATTGTGTCAAACCTATTGGGTTTGTCCATATTGCGTTCAGAGCAGGACACGATGCTTGCAGGCATTAGAAGTAGTTTTTGGCACAGGAACAAGCAGAAGGGAGTCTGTCTCAACCCCGCACTTGCTCATCATTCCATTCATTACCTAGGTGGGCTGTTATGGATGGCTACGAATTGCCTTTCAAACAACCCTACTGTTGGACGCGCTTGCAGCGGGGTTTTTTCAATACATCAAAATGTACAGTCATCAGAAATTACTGCACGTACCTTGCATGTACCTAGGTACCAGTACGCGTAGTGTGCACTGATGCTCTGCCAAGTGATGTGGTAAATATATTCCTCTTGTTATGCAGGCTGATACAAGCATAGGTACGGCGAACAACAGTCAACGGCCACATCCATGTTACCGCTCGACGTAACTGAGCTACTAGGACTCGGATGGGTATTACGATTACGGAATTATCTGTAATGATACCTGCAAGTGTGGATACCCCGTATAGGATGCAGAAATTCCCTCAGCTGTCATCACCACTGAGTGGATCCCTAGAAGGTACGGGCCGTGCTGATGTGGACCGTGCGGATGCGGGGGGGGAGCGCATGCGCTGTTTGGCATTCGAGGCTCGATCATCGGAAGAAAGATCTTCTGCTGATTCGATGGTCTTGCACAATGACTGCAGAGGCAGCAGGAAGTACTTTGGTTAGATCGACTACAAAAAGATCGACAGTCATAATGTGTCATTCTTCAGCCAGCCTCAACAGTTTATTTCTGGGAATTAGTATAGACGATCCCAAAGTGCTAAACATACCCCGCTCATTGACGCCCTGTGCGTGTAACAGATTACGGTACGATAGCTGGTATCAATGAACTCTTACTCTATAGTCTTGTTACACCATTGTGTGCATGTCTTGTTGCAACCACAGATGGAACATGCAACTGTGGACTGTCTGCATGCACGTACCCCACTGTTGGCAGAAAAGTATAGCATACGCTGTAGCAACAGTCACGGATGCATTGTGCGAGTTCTAGGTTTTTGTAAAATACTTTGCTAGTAACAGCGATGGGCCATAACCTCTCTTCCCGTGATAGCGTGAGTTTTATGACGCGAAGACCAGAGTAAGAGATAGTGTTGAGACAGGGATTGAAAGCCTACACCAGGGTGTATAGACCACAGCTTTTTACTAGGACCTGGTTTTCCTGTGATAGATATCTACCTTCCCTTCTCAGTTTTACGTACTTTACAATGACTGCTATAGAAGCTCCGACTAGACAGTCCTCGAGCATGCTCATAGAGGACAATGTCGGCCTCGACGACGAGTTGCGACTCATTTCCCACCCTATTCCATCACTGGACGAGTTTTGCAACAGTTATGGGCTCGAGAAGGATTGGATACTGAGATTCACTTGGGGCCTAGTTTTGGGAATCTACAGTGGTGAAAGCAATGTTTGCTTTCGTTGCATTCGTCGCGGAGCTGTTAGTAACGAGTCAACTCTGGAAGAATGGGTACATCGAATGGAGCTTGACAGGAGTACCCCTATCATAGACCTCCTGAAGAAGCTTCATGGCAATAGGTCGTGCCAGAATGGTGGATTCTCAGAAGATGTCGTCCAGGATTCAGCCCTGGAGGGTCATGACACAGTCTTGATGCTCAATATTGGTCTTGGGAGAGCTTCCCAAGTGTTAGAGGAAAATGATATGGCCAATGTAGGTCCCATCTAAATGTTCGGCGGCGCGCCAACAGTGAAATCACCCACAGTACTTACATTCGGACAGATCAAAATGATTTTGGAGGTCGATGGGCTGGTCATGAGCCTGGGCTACTGGGCAACAAAAGTCGGTAGCCTCCAGGCAAGGAGCATGGCAGCCGCTGTGAGCAGAGTCATGAATGCTCTGTTAGAGCAACCATTGATGGCCATAGGGAATCTTGACCTGTGTGATGAAGATGACATTGATATTCTTCAGAAGTGGAACAATTTTAAAACTACACTGCAAGAAGAGTGTGTTCATGACCTGATATCCAAGCAGGCTGTGGATAATCCCAACAGTGTGGCCGTTAATGCCTGGGATGGCCAGTTTACTTACAATGACTTGGACCGTCTCTCGTCAAATCTGGCAGTCCATTTACAGGGAATGGGTATCATTCCTGAGACCTATGTTGCTTTATGCTTTGAAAAATCAAAGTGGCTTGTTGTTTCCCTACTTGCCGTTATCAAGGCTGGAGCGGCATATGTTGTGATTGAGCCATATTATCCCCTTAAGCGCATGAAAGAGATCTGCATTCAACTTCAAATTAATGTTCTTCTGGCCAGCTCAGATTTGCTCCATACGGCAAGCAAGCTATCTGATCAGGTCTTGGTCGTCAAAGAGGGTTCCGAATACTTACATGACGGCCGCAACGGTGATGAGCAAAAAGCAGAGATGTCCACTAACAACCCTCATAATGCACTCTACGTTGTGTTTTCCTCCGGATCTACGGGCAATCCAAAGGGAATTGTAGTAGAGCATTCTGCATTCGTTAGTTGGGGTATGATGCTAAGACAAGCAATTTTCTTGGATAGCCAATCTCGGGTGCTTCAATTTTCGAGTTTCGCCTTTCTTATAGCTCATCGCGATGTGCTGCTTACCCTCATGCTTGGAGGCTGTGTCTGCATGCCGTCTGAGTCACAGCGCCTCAACCATCTCGAGACATTTATGACCGAATACCAGGTCAACTGGGCCAACCTCACACCTTCAGTAGCTGCGTTACTCGACCCGGACATGACACCTACCCTCGAGACCTTGCTCCTCACCAGTGAACCGATGTCTCTTTCTAGCCTTACTACGTGGGAGGGCCGAGTAAACCTCATCTTTGCGTATGGCCAGGGGGAGAGTGTCAGTCTCTGCTGTGTGAGGCACAACCCAACAGTCGGTTCTGACCGTAAGAATGTTGGTCATAGGATCGGCAGATCAGTCTGGCTCGTTGATCCCGATGACCATGATAAGCTGGTCCCCGTGGGGGCTGTTGGAGAGTTAGTAATTGAAGGGCCTGTACTGGCTCGTGGATATCTTGATGCTGAGAGAACGGCACTCGCGTTTCTAGATAATGCGGCGTGGGTACGAAGGCTCAAGCCGGGTCAGAGAGGGCGGCTCTATAAGACGGGAGATCTGGCACAGTTTACCGATGATGGATCAGTCCGATATCTCAGTCGAAAGGATAACTCGACCAAGCTCTACGGACAGCGACTGGACATTGATGAGGTGGTACGCCACATTCAGGGCTGTCTAGCAGGACTGTCCGACACGACAGTTCGCGATGTGGTGGTAGACCTATGCCACCCACCTAACTCCAATGACATCAAACTGGTGGCCTTTCTTGGATTCAGCCGCACCTCGCCGAGTACAAGCGGTGATGTTCTCTTGGGTCCATTGGACCGAGCCTCCGCCTACCTCCAGCAAATAAAGTCCCACTTGGCTGGCCTCGTTCCTCGTTACATGATTCCAGCTCTTGTCGTCACGGTCTCCCGCATACCACTCAACCTGTCCGGTAAAACCGATCGCCGACGGCTGCTCGAGCTTCTTTCTCGTATGACGCCTTCTGAGTTGGATTTATCCATGGGATCCAATGTCAGCCATGAAGACCCGTGTACCGACCAGGAGCGGAGCCTGTGTTCACTTTGGTCACAGACCTTGAAGGTTGCTGAATCGAGCATCGGAAGACATGACGACTTTTTCCAGCGGGGAGGTGACTCTCTGGCAGTGATGAAACTAGTCTCAGCCGCACATGCGGCCGGTCTTTCTTTGACATTCGGTGATGTTTTTGCAAACCCATTGTTACTCGATCAAGCAAACCTGATGGGCTCGGGGCAGGATCAGGAACAACGAAATTACATTTGTGCTCCGTTTGAATTGATCACAAAAAGTCGGAAGCATGCTGTTATTGTAGTGGCAGCCAGGGAATGCGCATTATCAGAGTCACAGATTGAGGACATTTACCCAGCGACACCAATTCAGGAGGGCCTCATCGCACTTAACGCTCTACGGCCGGGGTCATATGTGTCGCAGCGAGTCTACAAAATTGAAAGCGACGGTTTTAGTGTGTCCAGGTTCAAAGCAGCTTGGAATGCCACCTTGGATACGAATCCACCCCTGCGAACCCGTTTCATACGGTGCTCTGATGACGGCTCAACTTATCAGGTCGTTGTTCGTACCGAATTTAAGCTTGACTCTCACAATGACTTGGAAAATTATCTGGCACAGGACAGGGCCAGTCCAATGAATTTAGGATCACCACTGGTACGGCTGTGCCTCATTGCCAGCCCCAGAGGAGAGGTAAACCTTTGTGTTGTCACAATGCATCACTGCATATACGATGCCTGGTCCATGTCCGTGCTGTTGGACCAAGTTCATGCCGTGTATCATGGAAACATTTTGGACCCACAGCCCTTCAGCGGGTTTGTCAAATATGTTCAACAATCGAACGAGAATGCATCGGAATATTGGAGAACCGAGATGGCTGATGTGCAGGCCGAACAATTTCCAGCCTTGCCTTCTACAACACATTACCTGAACACCACAGAATCTGAGACCTTGGATATTCCCCTGCCTCCAAGGAACGCAACAGCAAATATTACACTCTCTACTTGTCTCCAGCTAGCATGGGCAGTCACTTTGGCCAACTACACCCGCCTCGACGATGTGGTATTCGGGTTGACGGTTTCCGGAAGAGGATCCCCAGTGCCAGGGATTGACAAGATGGCTGGGCCAACAATCGCAACATTTCCTTTGCGGGTTCAGTTGAGGCCAGCCTCATCAATCAACGAGGAGCTCCAGGCGTTGCAAAGTCGTGTAATTTCAACAATGCCATTTGGTCATTTCGGCATGCAGAATATCAGTAGGGTTGGGGACGACGCTGCCAGAGCATGCAGGTTTCAGAGTCTTCTGGTTATCCAGCAGAGCCAGTCCACATCCAAAAGGTCTGGGATTCTCCGCAGCATTGAGGGTCTTGGGATTGCTGCACAGGCAACCTGGGATACATATGCATTAACAGTCCTGTGTACTCCTGCTGACGATGACATGATTTATCTGGAGGCTGTTTACGACGCAGCTGTAGTACCCAAGCCTCAGGTACAACGGACACTACAGGTCTTTGCCCATGTCCTGAGCCAGATAGCCTTGTTCCCAGACAGAAAAGTGGGTGGTATCAATTCTATAAGCGCTGAAGACTTGCATCAGCTCCAAGTTTGGAACAGCTCGGTGTCTCCGGCAGTGCTGAGGTGTGTCCACGACATGATCCACGACCATTGTTTATCTCAACCAGACGCAATCGCAGTTGATGCATGGGATGGCCAGCTTACTTACGGGCAACTAGATCAGTGGTCTTCACTAGTTTCGGTGATTCTAAGAGAGAAAGGACTACACCGAGACATGTTTGTCCCCCTTTGCTTTGAAAAGTCGAAATGGGTTGCCGTTGCCATCCTAGCAGTCGCCAAAGGCGGCGGCGCGTTCATTCTTCTGGATCCCTCCCATCCACCCCAGCGACTTGCGTGGATATGTAATAATGCGCACGCAACAATGATTCTGTGCTCCAAGGACTTTTCTGCCTTAGCAGCCCAGATATGTGACCGACATGTGGTCCAGGTGGATGAAGGAATCATCGGAGAGACCCAAACCGCTTCCCCGACAGCCTCAACACTCTATCAAACGGATCAGATACTTCCCAGCAATGCCATCTGCGCCATATATACCTCCGGGTCGTCAGGAACCCCGAAGGGAGCCGTCATGGAGCACTCGGCCTTCGCCACTCAAATTACCGCCCTTGGGCCGCGATATCATCTAAATCGACAATCCCGTGTCTTCCAGTTTGCTTCCCACGCGTTTGATGTGGCCGTTTCAGATTACTTGTTCACTCTGGCCCTTGGCGGTTGTCTGTGTGTCCCCAAGGAAGCTGAAAGCCGGGACAGCCTAACTGGTGCCATGAGAGACCTTAAGGCAAATTGGACCTTTCTGACACCATCTGTAGCTCGGACTCTGGATCCCCGTGCTGTGCCAGAGTTAAAGCTCTTGGTAATTGGTGGCGAGTCCGCCAAGCCAGTAGATTTCACCATCTGGTCAGGCGCGGTGAGACTTATCTACGTGTACGGTCCTGCTGAATGCACCATCTACGCCACTCTACAGACCAACACCCTCCCTAATGCAAATCCCACGAATATTGGATCCGGAGTGGCAGCCGCATGCTGGCTGGTAGATCCCAACGATCCAGAGAAGCTCGTTCCCATTGGGGCGGTTGGGGAGTTATTGATCGAGGGCCCGATTGTTGGTCGTTGCTATCTGGGGGATGAAGAGCTCAGCAACTCGTCATTCATTTCTCCTCCATCTTGGCTACGTGCTCTGCGGCCAGGTAAATATGGCAAGAGGCTCTATAAAAGCGGAGACATGTTGCGATATAGCCCGGTAGGAAACGGGTCGCTCGAATTTGTCGGCCGAAGAGATAAGCAAGTCAAGCTTCGCGGACAGAGAATGGAGCTTGCAGAGATCGAGCACCAGGTTACGCAATCCTTTCCTATGGCAACTGATACCGTCGTGGAGCTAGTTATACCTTCAGGCTTGGACACCCAGAAGTTGCTTGTTGCGTTCATCTGGGACGGCGCCAATAGTGCAGAACAACGCTCAAGTCCAAACACAGGCACGCTGCCTGAAACAAACCTCTTTGTCTCTCCAGATAGATCTTTCGAGCTCCGATCTTCGAGCGCAGAACTGGCCTTACGGAAAAGTTTGCCTCCTTTCATGGTCCCTTCATTGTTCATTCCACTAAAGAAATTTCCACTTGGGCCTACCGGAAAGGTCAATAGGCGTCTTATAAAGGAACAAGCTTGTCTGCTCTCCCGAAAGGAGCTCAGTGTCTACCAGAGCTTTCAGACATCCGAAAAGATACCTCCATCTAATGAGTCAGAAATTTGGATACGCCAAGTCGTTTCTGACGTGCTTGGTCTATGCTCCAATGAAGTGGGGATGAATGACAACTTTTTCCACCTCGGCGGCGATTCCATCAGTTCTATGGTTATTTCTACACGCGCGACTGAGAATGGTCTGAGACTGACAGCTGCACATATCTTGGCACATCCACGCCTTCGCGATATGGCCAGTGTAGCCATGTGTGATAGCATTGACGATAGCTCCTCCTTTGAAGAACACCCGCCACCACTACCTTTCTCGCTGCTCCAAACAAGCCATCATCACGAGGAGTTAATGCGGGAAGTGACGCAGCAATGCAACACGGACAGGAGTAATGTTGAAGACATATATCCGTGCACACCACTGCAAGAAGGACTATTCGCTCTCACAATAAAGCAGCCTGGAGCGTACGTCTTCAAATTCACGCTTGAACTCGCTCAACAAATTGATGTGGATCGTTTTCACAACGCATGGAACACTGTGGTGGAGGCAAACACCATTCTCCGCACGAGAATCGTATGTGCCTCCAGCATGGGAGGCAGTCTGGTGCAGGCCGTCATGCGCAAGACTAGCTACCGAAGTACACCTCTCGCAGCTGACCAGTGCCCCGTTGGCCTAGGCGAGCCCTTGTTCTGCATTCAAATTTTGGCACCAGATGAGGAAGCAAATGGATACCGCGCAGTCGTGACTATTCATCACGCTCTTTATGATGGTGTGTCTCTGGGGATGATTATGACACAAGTATCAGCGGCCTATTGCAATGGTGACAGTCCAGTCTCACAGCCATATAGTTGCTTCATCCGACATTGCCTCTCATTACCGGCAGAAGATCAGATCAAAGATTTCTGGGATGCCGAGTTGGGAAACGCCACTTGTCCTTCATTCAAGGCAGCTTCCATTGATTCCTACTTGTTGCAAACTCCTAAATACACGGAACGTCGGATTGCTATTCCATCCGATGCACATCTCAAGTCCCCCTTGTCAGCAGCTCTCAAACTTGCATGGGGAATAGTCCTGTCGAGATTCACTGGAGAAGGTGACGTTGTATTCGGCACCGTAGTCAGCGGCCGGATGGCGAATTTGAGAGGCATTGAGAAGATTTGTGGGCCGACAATTGCGACTCTCCCGTTTCGCATCCGTCACGTTCCCTCCATGATCATCCAGGAGGCTCTGGATGAAGTGCAGACACGCACCCTAGGAATGATTCCCTTTGAACAGACTGGGCTGCAGCGAATCCGTCAACTCGGGTATGCGGATGCGTGTCGATTTCAGAGCCTCTTGATAATACAATTCTCCGAAGACGAGGATGTTCCTGATAGCCCCTTGTACAAATTCATTCAAGGACAGCCTACTAGGACCTTTCACACCTATCCCCTGACGATAACGTGCATTCCCTCAGCTGAGTCGGTCCATGTTCGCGCGACGTTCGATTCGGGGGGTGATCCCTATGGTCTTGGTGGATCGACTGCTGGACCAATACTCTCGCGTTCTCATGCACATTCATACCGTGGCGTGGGAACCCGTGTCTTCCATCCCTTCACAGAGCATAGATGATGGGAGACGGATGTGGGCCTGGAACGAGACTGTCCCTCGCAGGGAAGACACGTGTGTCCATGAAATCATTACAAGCAACACTGGCAATCAACGAGGTGCTTCTGCAGTCTGTGCGTGGGATGGTGATTTGACGTATGAAGAGTTAGAGGATATGTCTACCAGACTCGCAGCGCACTTAAGGAACTCCGGAGTAGGCGTTGAGACAATGGTTCCGCTTTGCTTCGAGAAATCACGATGGGCGGTGGTGGCCACATTAGCCGTGCTCAAGGCTGGTGGTTCGTTTGTTCCTCTGGATACATCTCAGGCCGCAAGTCGAAGAGACACGATCCTGACATGCATAGAAGCAAAGGTGATAGTTACATCAGCGCAATATGCTTCAACGCTTGCTGCTGCTGATCGTATTATAATACCCGTGGATGATGCAAGTATCAGGGCTTTACCCATGGTGGCCCCCTCTCCAACGTCTGGCGGGCAGGCCTCGTCTCCAGCCTACGTATTCTTCACGTCTGGAAGCACCGGACAGCCAAAGGGGGTCGTTGTAGACCATGGCGCCCTCAGCACCAGTTGCCTCTCCCATGGGTCGAAGATGGGGTTCAACGAACAGACAAGAATGTTTCAATTTACAGCATATACCTTTGACATAAGCCTTATGGAAATTTTCACGACACTCATATACGGGGGTTGTATCTGTGTACCCTCCGACGCTGACAGATTCACTGATCTGGAGCTGAGCGCTGACACGATGAAGGTTAATGCCGTCTCTCTGACTGCGTCCGTGGCAAGACTTGTTGAACCATGCCGCATCCCTTCTGTGCAAAAAATTATCTTTGTAGGGGAAAACGCAACTGACGATGATTTCAAAAGGTGGGCACACCTTCCTGAGATATTCGACGCATATGGTCCCACCGAATGCACCATCTTCTGCTCGATCAACAAGGTCCAGGTCAGCCACGGTGGTGGCTCTCATATCGGCAAGGCTGTCGGCTCAGTATCCTGGGTCGTGTCTCCGGATGATCATAACCAGCTGGCGCCGATTGGAGCCGTCGGAGAACTACTTGTGGAGGGGCCAATCCTAGCTCGAGGCTATCTAGGCGATGTGGAAAAAACATCAGCGGTCTTCATCGAGGATCCCCCTTGGTTAGTACAGGGCATTGCTGGTCACCCTGGCAGACGAGGCCGACTTTACAAGACTGGTGATTTAGTGCGGTATAACGAGGACGGTAGCTTGATCTACTACGGGCGAAAAGACACTCAGACTAAGATCCGTGGCCACCGTGTGGAATTAGGCGAAGTGGAATGTCACGTATGCGACTGCGTGGCCGGGGTGAACCAGGCAGTAGTGGTGGCTACTGCTCCGGACGCAGGGGGTGTTGGATCTGTGTTGGCGGCTTTCCTGTGCTTTGCTGATGCGAAACATTCAGCGGAACTTGAAGACGATGTCCGTGCCATTACAATCCCATGGTCGACAAAGGACACTCTGGCAGATCGCTTGCCACCGTACATGATGCCCAGCATATATCTTGCCATTGGGCAGTTCCCACTCAATACCTCTGGCAAGATGGATCGTCGTCGCCTTCAGCATATCGCCACAAATCATTTCCAAAGCCGGCTGGCCAATGGAGGAATGAACAAAACCGAGCAACAGCAGAATGGCCTCGGATATCCTCCATCATCTCTACCCTCAACATTCCGTGACTCCTCAAATGAGACGGAAAAACGGCTAAGAGAAGCTTGGGCGACGGTTCTTGGAGTTCAGAGCGAGACCATCAGTGTCGATGACAACTTTTATGATCTTGGTGGGGACTCTATTCGAGTCATCAGCCTGATGAGGCTCATCCAGAATGAATTTGGTATTCATTTGGCCTCTTCACTGATCAACAGCCGCAATACAACAATTGCCAAGATATCACAGTTCATTGATACGAAGTCAGAGGCCGCGACATTGGACTTGGAGGGAGAGATAGAGGCCTCATTGTCCTCCACCTGGACAGACGCAGTCTCTCAGCCATGGTTCAACCCATCCAAGCTCGTTGATGCACCGGTCAATGTATTTCTCACTGGCGGAACGGGGTTTCTCGGTACCCAGATTCTGCGTTGTCTCCTATCGTCCAATAAAGTTGAGCGAATTGCTACTCTTGTACGTGCCGCCTCTGCTGGTCAAGGGTTAGAAAGGTTGAAAAAGACCGCAGCCGTCGCAGGGTGGTGGAGAACTGAGTACGAAAAACGCATCGAGGTGTGGACAGGAGATCTCGGCCTTCCCAAACTAGGGCTGAGTGACCCCCAGTGGCAGCGGTTGTCAGGGACGGCAGCAGTCGACAACATCGAGGCAATCATTCACAATGGCGCTGTTGTAAATTGGAACATGGACTACGATAGCCTCCGGGCACCCAACGTGCTGTCTACCATCGATCTTCTCAAGACTGCAGCTATGTCCCGTTCTTCGCGACGATTTGTCTTTGTGTCTGGAGGTACCATAGCCGAATTGGATGTTAGCCGGGGCAATACTGCCGCTTTTGACCAGATAAGCAGAAGCAATGGGTACATTCAAAGTAAATTTGTTGCAGAGGCTATTGTCCGTCGCTTTGTCTCTCAGCTACCGCTTTCTCAGAATCGGTTTTCGGTCATCAAACCGGGCATGGTAATCGGAACTACCGAGGAAGGGGTTGCGAACCTCGACGACTTCATCTGGAGGGTTGTTGCCGCTGCTTCACGGCTACAGTTGTATCCCTTAGAGACCGAAGAAAGCTGGGTGCCAATCACAGACGCAGGGTTTATTGCAACACAGACTGTTGCTCAGGTCCTTTCGAACGATATCGACATCTCGTCATATGTCAATATCGCCAACAAGTTTGGCCTACGCGCTTCCGACTTTTGGGAGCAGGTAAATTCTGAGCTGCGGCATACATGCGAGCCAGTCCGGTGGTCTCTCTGGGTCGAGCGAGCCCTGAACGATACAAATCAAGTTGGCGAAAGCCATCCGCTTTGGCCGGTGCAGCAGTTTGTGAAGGGGAAAAACACGGCATTTCGATAACATCACCGCTCTCACCCCCAAATAGAACGGCTCTTCGCGACGCTGTCAAAGCTAATGTGCGCTATCTAGCGCAAGTTGGATATCTTGAATGCCGAAAAGGCAATAATTCGGACCCACAGCCTGGAATTTTTAATCGGTCTACAGCTGTCCCAGCGTTGAGCGTCCAATCAAAATTCCCTACTCATAGTACGTAGAAGATTTAGTATTCCTAGACTTATTCAGCTTATTATGTGTTTTTGTAAATTTGATATTATCTCCTCTAAGTGGTTGAAAAATAATATCCGTTCCGGTCTTAGATATAGACTTGCCCTTGATCCCAAAAGGATTGGTACTAGACATCGGCACAACCTATTTTAGGTTGTAGTAATCAACCTAAAACCCAACCCGCATAGGTTATAGATTACATATTTATAACCCATTTTTGTAAAAAACAAAGATCTAACCCAAGGGACCTGGAGCAGCGGGCCTCACTGCTTGGCGGTGAGGGTTTCTTAAGTATGGACAGAATTTGCCCTACCACCCTCACTGCTTATATATTTTAGGACCTGACTACGCAGAGCTTCTGTTATACGATTACTCTGAAAATTTTATAAGTTCTAAGTTGATATCCCTACTGCTACTAGTTTAAATCTTAGAAGTTACTATCTTCTATAGTAGTTGTAGGAGTTAACTCTAATTAGTCTAAAACTCTTTAATCTTTTTAATAGGGTATAACTAGGAGGCTCTACTCTAGGATGTTTGACCTACTTAATAAACTTAGTAAAAAGATACTTATTAATGTATAATCCCTAAATATATATTGTAACGGGGATTTTCGCTCTTAACATCGGAGTCCCCTAGTCATGTGATTGAGGCCTTACCAACAAGGCCTTCATTTTTGTTTCGTGAGGATAAGTAGCCGGTGTGTGAGAGTGTCACCAGGACAAGCATCGTCTTCTCTACAACAATCTTCTGTTATCATCTTCTTAGTTTTTCTTTACACACACACACAGAGAGAGAGATCTTCCTTTTCAATTCAGATTCGATTCTACAAAATGTCCTACTGAGGCCACCAAGGTAGTGATATCGGTATGCCGTCCATGAAAGGTTCTATTCTTCACTCTCTTGTTCTTCTATAGTGTCACGCGCAGTATTCTACTCTCTTGCACTCTGCAAGTGTGGTGGTTTTGTTCTCTTGTGATCGACCCGTTTGCATGACAGACAGCCAGCGAGCATTCCCATCTTTCAATGGTTATTTCTAGAATTCTATTCTAAATCCTAAATATTGTTATGGAACACAGCGACACCCTACTGATTACGGGAACTAGTGTAAACATTACGGAAGGACCAGGACCAACTAACTTGGCCTGAGGAAATAATGTCAAGATTACGTAACAACTCCCTGTTACGTGAGTAAAGGATATAAGGACTATGATCACTAGGGATCCAACGTTACGTGATCAAAAGGATGATATAAGGACTCCAACATGTCCTATATAGGATAGGATATCCTACAGAGGATAGTGTCACGGGGCTCGTGTCAAAGAGGGTAAGCTTTGGTGAGAAGCAACTAACTATCTTTGTATTCCCTGTGGCGACCCGATCTTGTCTTAGCTACGCTAGGGGTTCGTGCCCGATTTGATACCGATTCGTGCCTGTCTATGCCTGCAATCATGACCTTGAGCAAACCTCACAAATCCCTTATTAGGGTTTTATTTTGTGTTATATTTTTCCCCTAGACTCTAAGTACTCTGAAAATATTCTCTAATTATTATTATCTTCTCTGGTTACTGAGTTATAGGTCTGTAAAGTTAGTGAGTTATTAACGTGTTTCACCACCGAACCGCCACCACCACCGAGCCGCTACCCTACCTATATCACAACAATATATATTGAATATTACACAACCACCATATAATATATTGCAAAAACTAAGCACTATTCACAACTGAACACCTATTCCACTTATACCCTAGCTCTCTACAATTAGTACAGTACTGTATAGACCTCCTAGTCATTGTCTCTGTAACTGCCGGAGCACACTGTGACACCAAGGATATTACTATTTAGTGCTTATACTTAATTTATAGACATAATTATATCTCTTCGGCAGTCATTCCACCTTCTTATACTAATTACTTATTAAATAAGACCTTTTTTTACTACTTTTATCTATTCTCTACTATTATACACTTATATATAGTCATTAGTATTATAAACTAATTAGTAAGTAATTATATACCTTTAGTAGTCTACTCTAATTACTAATATATATCACTATTAGGTAAAATATCTCAATACTCTAGTAATTACTTAATTAATACTACCTAGCATCAAAAATTAATAGCTTTTAATAGTATATAAAATATAAATTTATAACTACTAGTACTACTATATAATAGTAATAATATAGGTAATAGAGAATAAACCTTAAGTTTTAAAAGTACTACCTTAGATATATATAGAATAATACCTAATACCATAAAACTACTAGTAATTATAGAGATTATATATATTACTATATATATTATAGAGTACAGATAAAGAAAATCAAACTTTTTAATATCTATAGAGCCTATATAGGTAAGATCTTATATAGTCTAACTATAGAAGTACTTTAATATACTAAAATAACCTATATCAAAAGATTATAATAGATACAATAAATAAGATAGTATACAGATTAGCACAATATTACTTTCTATATATAGAGTATTAAATTAAGGAGTAAGATAACTCCTATAACTATCCATAACTAAAAGAGACTAGGTACTATATTAATACTTCTTAACATATAGAATAAAGGAATTTTCAAACTATAAAATACTAATTTAATCAGTAATCTATCTATTATTACTAACCTTAAAGCACCAATTATCTAGGATAATACTACACTAAGTAGATATAAAAATCTTAACTTTAAAAATAATTATTAGAGGTAGAATACTATCCAAATAGATACACTTAATTACAGTAACCTACTCCCAGTTACTAGGCTATATAACTTTTCTTTTTCTCTACTACTCCCGACTAATAATTATTTTTAAAGTACTAGTAATCCCTATTATAAAGCTAGTTTTATTAAAGTTATAGATATCATTATTAAGAATACTATATTTAGTAATAATATTACAATATTAATCAAACCACTTACAAATAAGTTCCGGATCTTCACATAATATACACTAAACAACATAACAATATAAAAACCGGGTTTTTAGCTTCTTATAACATACAACAAACCAAGATATCTAATTTTTACCAATTAGTAAGAGAGAGGTATTAACAGAGTACTAAGTAAGTAGAATATTAACTATCTCTTTTACTATAGCTAAGGTAGAGACCTTACTATACATATCTAGTGTTACACGCTTTGCTAACTGGTCACAGTGAGTGGTTAGATCTGGGTGGACAACTTACCAGTTGTCGTCTGTGTCGTTGGTTGTCGTGATATCTATCACTCGTACTCCTCAAGTATCAACTCGCAATCGTACCGTTGCTGTGCTAAGCCTTACACGGACTCGGATCTTATAGAGTAACTTCAAGGAGGCGCCAGGTAGTGCGCCAAGTAGGTCAGTCCGAAGAGCTCCCCTACTTGTAGTATGTTTGTCACAGGACTGAAACTGAATGAAGAGTAATCCCAAAAGGTATACTGTAGTAACTTAGATTGATTAATCGCGAAGAGCTAAATACATGTGTGTAAGGAGTGTCCTTATATATCTAATCCTTCGTGGCGTGGTATATCGGAGGGTACACCTGGTGGTATACCAGATTGTGCCCTTCCATCTACCTCTTGGTATACCCGCTGGTATACCCTGTGATTACGTGCTTATCGCATGGCGTCCTTGTCCCCGCGTCGGGTGTTATCGTACGAACCTCCACGACTTTTCTGGGTTACTAGGAACTCGTGGTGATTCGTGCGATGGTCTGGTTCCTGTGGCGCCTTCCGTCGCGCGCCCTAGCTTGTCGTGCGGACCGAGCTACCGTAGGGTGGAACGACCCGTAGGGACCAGCCCGACGCAAGATGCTGCCCTTCGCACGATGCCTGGGTTAACCATGTCTTCCCCATCCGTTGACCCAGTTATCCTGTATCGTGTGGCTCTGGTGGGAAGGCCATGGTTTCTTATGATGTTCCGCACGTGACCTGTGGGCGGTTGTGGTGGTTGCAAAATGATTGGCTCTCGATGGCCCATTTGTGAGTTGCAGCCCCCGCGTCGCGGGGTCCGTAACATCATCCTCCCCTCTCCTTGGTTCTCGTCCTCGAGAATCCTTTATAAACGTCCACCCCCCTCAGGTAAGTGTTGCATTATGAGTCCTTATGCGAATAGCAAGAAGTGTTCCACCTGCGCTCGTCGGGGCCAGGTGTGTGAACGAAGCTTTCATACCGACAAGGAGTGGGATGACTTGCAACGGGAGGAGCAGAAAGTTTCGGCGGACCTTACTGAGGCCCAAAAACAATTTCTTCAGTATTCCCAAAAAATGAATGAGGCAATGGCGAAAATTCTTCGCTTGCAGAAACATCAACAATTTCTCAAAGATCGTGGTGGTCGGATGTTGGATCACGACTCGGTGGTGTCGGATCGTCTCAATGAGGACGATCCCCCATCTCTTGCTGAGCTTTCGGAGTTCGACCGTCTGGCCGAGCAGCAAGAGATTCGTCAACTGGCTGCTACGTCAGACTCGAGTCTGACGAGGATGGTGGCGTCGATGGACCAGATGCCAGATGCTTTCTGGGCCGTCCCGGACGCTTCTTCCCTTGATGGCGTCTTTGGCCAGCCTCCTGGTGGAACTGTTGAACCAGCTGGCGGCAGTCCGTCAGGTTCTTGATAGGTTCCCATGTGTTTTCCGAGGTATCGTAGCCTTTCCATTTCACTAGGTAGTGGGGTTCTCCGTTGACACGCTTCATGTTTAGGACGCTCTCGACTTCATATTCGTTTTCTGTTTCTTCCTCTATTTCCACATTTGCAGCGAGTTTAGCGTTTTTCGGTGCGGGTTCGAGTAACGATATATGAAAATTCGCA